CCGCGTCATGGGGACGTCGTCGTCCAGGGTCGCTGTCCGGTCCGTTTGTCGAGTCCGCCACTCGACGTAGTGCCCGCACTATCTCCACGCCTGCGTCCGTCTCCCGCCAAATCCCTCCCCAGCGTCTTCGTCTCTTTGTCACCGCTGCACCATCCTTCGTGTCCCGCCGTTCGAGAGCGCTGCCGTCCAAGAGAGGGCCTTCTTTTGTCCGGCTTCCCCTTTTCAAGCCTTGGGTCCTCTCTTCTGGGAAGCCAGTCCCGTGACGTCAGACGGCTTAGAGGAGTGGTCCAGCCAGACCTTGTGCTGCGCGAGGCCATGGCCGGTCCCCCGAGGCATGGCGCATGTCGGAAGCATCGAGTGCGAGTTGCCGGAAATTGGGGTCCGGAGGTTCGGCGCGGGGGAGGGCAGCCAGAGGCCAGAGGCCAGATTCACGAAGAGCTTCTTAGTTTACGAAAACTTAGCTAAGAAGTTCGTAAGTTAAGAACATCGTAAGAAGAGGAGAAATCGGTATTCACGAACGCGTTCTTAAGTGAGAGGAGGAAAGCGACGTTCTCGTACGGAAAAACTAAAACTTACCGGTGCTGTTGCTATGGCGACGGCGTCTTCGGCAGCACGAACAACCAATCGCAGAGCTCGGCATTTGTTCGGAGCCGTTCGGAGCCGTTCGGAGCACGTGGATTTTTCATAACAAACAAAGGCGGCCTTTCTGCCACCGCTTGTCTGGGGTTCGTATCCGTGCAGTGATATGTCGACGTTAACACGAGTTAAACTCGCCCGAATGCCGATTCCGGGATGCGTAACCACCCCCATTGACTGCTACGAACTCGATCGCTACCAAGTCAACACAACTGTCATCGTTGGTTGAAGACGGCCCGCAGTCGTTCGCAAAGCGACGTAGTTGGGAACAAATTGCCGCGGCGTTTTTTGCGGCCTCGGAAATGCAGGAGCGAGCCGACGTTAAAAAAGATACGTTTGAACTACGACAGTGCCAGCAAGAGCCACGTAAATGCCTGTTCACACTACGGAGCGGACGCGCGCGTTTGATCGAAGTGCTGGATTTGCGCTGTTGGACCTTGAATTGATAAGCGCTTCGGGACCGATCCTTTACAATTGCAACTCGATGCTGACGTGACACCCGGCGAAGAAAGGTTGGACCGGCATTCCGACCCACGAACTGTTACAGCGATCGACAGTGAGGTGCAGTCGTGTCAGAATAAAATGGAATACTAATAACAAAGTGTACATACCATGTTGCGAAGGTAATCCATACGGCGTTTATTTGAGCTTGATATCACACAAAACAGAGATAGAATCGATGAGAGCCCCTTTTCGACGACAGCGTTCGTCACCGTTGCCTCGGAAAACAAGGGGATGGCAAGAGGAAGAGATTGACCTCTTAATCTAGAATTGAGATCAGCGATCAAACTATAATACGGGAAAGGTTCACAAGGGTCGCGCGGGCATATTCTATTCAGCACGCCAGCCGGTCGTGGGCAGACGGTCTTCGCCAAGGACCGTCAGATCATCGCTGCGCCGAGTCGGAGTGCCTGCTAGGCCTATCTGTCGATTGGTCGGAGTCCGTACTCGTGGCCCTTGAAGTTTTTCCCGGGTGTCCGTGGATCCAGCGTTCTTGTTCGTTCGTCGTGGTCTGTTTCAAGTACTTTTTACTTGGTTCTTGCTGCTTGAAGTCGGGACGCGTGAGAAGCGCACGTAGAAAAATAAACATCCGTTGGTCGCCGCGACCAACTGAGCGACGCTGTCGGCCATGCTGATTTGATCGTAAGAAGTGCGTAAGACAGCTTCGGAGCTGTCGTAGGATTTCGTCGTAACCTGCGCAAAACTTACGAAAATTTCGTTTCGTGAATACGGATTTGTTCTTAAGTTTTGTCTTACGCACATTTTTGGCGTAAGATCGTTTCGTGAATCTGGCCTCAGATTCATAAAAAACGTCTTACCTACGACATCTTAGCTACGATGTTCGTAAAGTTACGATCATCGTAAGATGAGGCAAAAACGGTATTCACAAACGCGTTCTTAAGTGAGAGGAGGAAAGTTACGACCTCTTACGAAGAAACGATGACTTCCGGTGCTGTTGCTATGGCAACGGCGTCTTCGTCAAAACGGACAACCAATTAGAGAGCTAGGCATAGTTCGGAGCACGTGGATTTTTAATAACAAACACAGGCTAACCACTCGTTGATAGAAGAGTGTATGTCCTGTCCTGTCTGTGTGTAAATGTTTGGTGTTCAATCTGATTCTCATAAACACGGGCGGCCTTTCCACCACCGCTTGTCTGGGGTTCGTGTCCGTGCAGTGGTATATCGACGCTAACCCGATTTAAATGCTACAAACTCGATCGCTACGAAGTCAACGCAACTGTCATCGTTGGTAAAAGCCCCGTGTCAGTCGTTTGCAAAGCGACGTAGATGAAAACAAACCGCCGCGGCGCTCCTCGCGGCCTCGGAAATACAGGAGTGAGCCGACGTTAAAAAAGATACGTTTGAACTACGAGAGTGTCAGCAAAAGCCACGCAAATACCTGTTCACACTCGGAACGGACGCGTGCGTTTGATCGAAGTGCTGGATTCAGACTGCGTTTCGGTAAGTGCTTCGGGACCGATCTTCTACGATTGCAACTCGATACTGACGTGACACTTGGCAAAGAAAGTTTGGACCGGCATCGCGTAGCTCCCACAAACTGATATAGCTCGACAGTTAAAAATGGCATCCTAATAACAAAGTGTACATACCGTGTGGCGAAGGTAATCCATACGGCGTTTATTTGAGCTCTATATCACACAAAACAAGGAGATAGAATCGAGGAGTCCCTTTTCGACGACAGCGTTCGTCACCGCTGCCTCAGAAAACAAGGTGATCGAGATCCTCTGAAATTTAGTTCAGCTATCAAACTATTCATACGGGGAGGGTCCACAAGGGTCGCGTGGGCATATTCCATTCAGCAAGCCAGCCGGTCGGGGCAGACGGTCTTGGCCAAGGACCGTCTGAGCAATGCTGCGCCGGAACGGGTCGGAGTGCCTGCTAGGCCTATATATTCTGCCGAGCTCGCTTGGTCGGTGGGATTGTTGCCTTTGTTGCCTTTTCCAGGTGTCTGTGGATCCAGCGTTCATGTTCGTCGTGGTCGGTTTCAAGTACTTCTTCATTTTTTTCTTGCTGTTTGAAGTCGGGACGCGCAAGAAGAGCAGGTAGAAAAATACATGTCCGTTGGTCGTCGGCGACCGAGCAACTGAGCGACGTTGTCGGCCATGTTAATTTGATCGTAGAAAGTGCGTAAGACAGCTTCGGAGCTGTCGTAGGATTCTGTCGTAACTTGCGCAAAAGTTACGACAATTTCGTTTCGAGAATACGGATTTTCTCTCAAATTTGTCGTACGCATTTTTTTCGTCGTAAGTTCACTTTGAGAATCCGGCCTCTGATCTCCACAATTCTTATGCGCAAATGTAGGATTATGGCGTCAATTTTGTTGCGTCTGCTTGCGCACACCGGCTGCTGCTAGCTCGTCGAAAGAACGTGAGCCACTTATTACAAAACACTAAATTGTTTGGTTCAGTATCCCTTTAAGCTGAAACTACAAGCTCCGCCTTCCGCGCGAGCTCGCCGGCTTCCGCAGTGCTTTGGTTGCGTATGCATGCGCGTTCACACTTGTGTTATCAAAGACAGAACGCTGGAGTTGAAGGGGAGCTTCTAGTCTTTAAGGGCGAACGAAGTATTCGCTCTCTCTCGAATGAGTTGAAACGGGGTGGCCCCAGCGTGCAAATCGCACCCAACCACTTCCGGTTCTTAACTAGTCGGTGAGTTTTGCAGTATATGCGAAATGAAATACACAGGCTCTTCTGGAAACGGCCACTTTAGCACTATCAGGCTTAAGTCATTCTTATGATAAAAGAATGACGAGTGAAAAATTAGAAAATAGAAAATATACGTGAACCGGAAGTGTGCCGGGGCTACCCAATAGAGGCCGCCACTGAGTTAATTGCCAAACAAAGAAGGGTCGATAGCGAGCTTCCCACCGCGAATAGGAAGTAATCACTGGCGGACATAGCTGTGTGCTAATGGCGAGCTTCCACAGTTATTTTCCGTCGTGCATTCCACGCCGCTAGGATTGCCGGTCTTAGCAACCTGAGCTTGTTCTGAGGATACGCTCTCAACAATACCCACAAATATGGCGTACAGTGAAGACGCGAAGGTATCTTTGGCAGACCTGCAATCCCTCGTGGTTACTTCACGAGCACCTAGAGTCTGCAAGCGTGGCAAAGGTAACCTCGCGCGGAGGCTACATGGACTTGCGACTCGTCAGTGTCGGTTGATTCTGTTTGTCTCTCCAGTGGGTCTTGGCCATTAGCAATGTGACCGCAGCTTTCGACAATTCAAGGTCCGAGGCACGACTTTCTCTGGAGCGAAAGTTGGTCTTTTACACGTTTCTAAATCAATTACAGGTAATTACTTCGATGAACTATCTCTAATACATGGACCATAGTAAGTAAGGAGCGACCTTGAAATTCGTTTGCTGTACATTAACTTACTTTTCGGGGTGTGAACAGTGACCTTGTTTATTAATGTTTTCCCTAAACTTAGAGGGACAATAGACGTCACGCGAAGTCATATTACGCTACACTACGAGTCGACACCGTCTCGGTGTCACCTGACAGGACGTAAGGGCACGTCACGTCAATTTCCCTCTACAGTTATCAGATACATTGGCGCACGGTGTCAAAATCTGGTCACGTGACGTAATATTACGGCGGCGAGTCATGATGTCACCTGACTCACTGACCTCATGTGACGTCAATTTGTCCGTTTAACTTGGAGGAAAAGGCACGGACAAATTGCTGGGTTCAAGTTACCCGGTCCAGAACTGAAGGAAGACGTTAATTGGTTCCCTAACAAAAGAGTGATTCTACAGTCACGCGTAAAGAGGTGTATATTTCGAACTTTCAATGGGAGCTGTTCATTTTGTGGTTTTTAACGTTCCCCATTTAACAGAGCGTCAAGGACCCGGCTGTCCTGCCAAGAACCGTATCTCGATCACGGAGACCTTGGAGCAGCAAATTAAAGACGCTGTCAAGACACCGCAGCCGGTCAAACGCAGGAAGCTCTCGAGCGCCAACCGGAACATCATCGCCCACGACCTCCAAGAGGCCGGCCCGAGCGGTGTCCAGGCGGGAGGACGCGGAAAGCAGGACCTGGGTACCCACACCCTGAATAATCTTTTATCTGAGACTGAGTTGCCGCCCAGAAAACGATACGACGTAGATGATGCGGAATTGGACGCCGCGGAGGGGCTCCTCATGCTGGAAACTTCACCCTGCCCAAGCAATGTCCCCACCTAGGCGGCGGGATAGCTGATTAGGCCTGATTGAGGTTAAGGATTTGCCGCATCTTTGAACAGGCTACTGGTCAGCTCTATCTGGCTTTGGAATGGGCGAGCTCCTCAAAGGGCTTCGCAACTTAAAATCTATGGAGGTGAGGCGGCATGTAGAAATAGATGTCGATCCTGATCTTGCTCCCGTCTTGTAGAGATTATTCGGTGCTAACGTGCTGGTCTCCATTTTGTCCGTTCTAACGGTCTTATACACTTCTTTTTTCTCTATTGCGCGGTCTTTTAGTATGATGTACGGCAGCCATAAAGATATTTCATCTTTTTTATAGTGCTACAGCGCACAAGCATACCCAAGAACGACTGTGCGCCATAGAGACGGGATTGGTATTCGTCTAAATTTTGTTCATATTCCTCATTTAGGAGACCAGACGTACGGTACAGTTTGGGGTGAAAGGGGTATGTTTTCCGCGAATTTAACTCTCCCGCTGTCTGTCTTTGTGCGGCTGAGGATTTCGAAAGCGAAGGTTGATTCTTTTTTACTCCGGTTATTTATTTATTCAGTTTGCCAACATGCTTTCGAACATGCTTTTGTTGTTTCTTTTTTCATCTTTTATTGTTGCCAATATGATTTATGCCGACGCAACAATTTATACTCTCGAATCTTAGTTCTGCGTTTGAGATGTGTGTTTGCCCATTTGCTTTTCCTCTTATGCTGTTATACTTTTTTTTTGTTCATGAGAAGCGCTCTGTTGGGTTTTTATTTCTTACGTCATTAGTCATTTGTTTCGTGAGCTGCACTTCAGCTCCAAGACACCGTGTATGGTAGTCTGCATGTAACTTTTTGAATGTTTCTATGTACCACATTTCTACGCCACTGCCGGGTCCAGTCATAGAAGCCGTTTTTGGCTTCGACGGACCCGCATACATGTATTGATCATGCAAAAGAGATGCAATAAAATTATTATTATTATTATTATTATTATTATTATACTTGACTCCTAGGGTGCCAATATACTGATTTTGATTGCAAGCTGTGCTTGGTCTCTTTTTTTTTTTTTTTTTGCTTTTTGTTTACTACGTCACATTTTCTGAAAATGTGAGTTTTTTGCGTTTTGTTTTGTGTTTTATTTTGTTTTGCCTGCCGTCCGGTAGGCAGCACTCAATCCTGATTTTGATTTTGTCGGTTTGAATGGTTTTATCTACATTTGATTTCCACCTTACACGCATTTTCTAAGGTTGCGTAGTAAAAGAAGTCAAAGCCGTTTACAACTCCCTGTAACGCCGAATTAGGGCGCAGCTCTTGAGGAGGAGGAGGAGGGAAGGGTACTGAGGGGGGAGGAGGAGGGAAGGGTATTGAGGGGAGGGTAGACCCCTCCTCCTTCTCCTTCTACGTAATTTTTGTAAAACAAAGCAATCTGTTCGGTTCTTGACCTTTTTGTAAAATGACTGACTTTCTGTTGCCCAGCCTAGTAGAAAAAGTTTCTGTTCTTTAAAGTGTAAAACAAAGTTTTTGAAAAAAAAAGTAGGCTTCTGTTTTTGAAGTTTGCAAGAAAAAACAGCTGTTAGAACTATAGAACAAAGATCGTGTAAGTAAACAGGGTTTCTGTTCTGGAAGTTTGTGAAAATACAGTCTCTGCTCCTAAAAATATATAAGAAAGTTTCTGCAAATAAAGCAGGTTTCAGTTCTGGAAATTTGTGAAAAAATAATCTCTGTTCATAGAAATACGCAACACATTTTCTGTAATAAAGTGGTTTTTGTTCTGGAAGTTTGTGAAAAGATCACTTCTGTTTAGAAAGAAAACAGAGCTTCTGTTCAAGAGATAAATTAGTTTCTATGGTACAAATTAAAAAAAAAAAAACTGTTTCCGTGAACATTGGACGCTCTCTTGACAAATTATTTCTGCTCTGCTCTTTCAGCCTCTAAAAGCATACATTTTGGGGTGTGGATAGTAGACACACAGTTTCACACTGCAGAAATCCTGCAATTTAACAATGTCTTATTGAACCGGAAAAAGAAAAACAACTTCAATTGAAGTGCGGTATTTCGCAGAGTGACTTAATTAACGTCTCAAACTGAGCTCAGTTTGAGACGTCGTTTTGTCTATTTTCTGTCCCTTCTACGTTTTGATGTTTCTGCTCTACCCCAGTCTCAGGTTAATTCAACATGGTTAATATTCACCAGCTCGCCTGCACCCTTACAATTTTTTTCTATGATCATCCCAGAAGCAGGCTTGGTCCCCTTTTCTTATGGTCCAACGGTTGTCAACACAGGCAAACCCGATAAATTTCTAAACCTTCGCGCTTTTGGATAAACTGGGGCGTCGACTGACAGAGTTAGAAGCGGATGGGGCTTTCTTCGGCATCTGTCTTCGCGAGAAATTCGTGGGTCCAGAGCACTTCAAACACATCAGTTCCTTTGCGATAGACGTAAATGCGATCCTAAGGAAGAACAGCCGAAGAAGGAAAATATGGTCGTCAATCATCGGGGACGAAATGTGGCGTAAGGATTGATTGATGCGAAACGTGCTCGCGGTGGGTCTTGTCGTTTTTTATTTCGAAACGTGGAGACAAATAAAATGTTTTCAAACATGCAAGATCGTCACCGGTGACCCGAACGCAAGCTCCAAGGAACAAAACAGTTGTGGCTGTGCCATCGACGCCGATCGTCTGCTACATTTGGTAGTCTACGCCGCCACAAAGCAGTCACAAATAGGGGATAACAAGATTGGTAGTAGAGATTGAGGGAAGCGTGAAATCGCTCACGTAATTAATAGGTTATACCGTATTACGTGATACAAAAATTCGAAGCAGATTTTGAAAGGTGCAAAAAGGTTTCTAAGCTAGGTGGCGCAAGCTACCGCCCAGTGTAAGGGGGCACAGCCGCCAGCATCCATCTATTCACAAATCGACCGCCGGCAGCTCCGTGGCCGCTGGTTCGAACACTCCTCCGTCCCCGCACCGTCCCATTTTCGGCACGGCGCCGACGGCGTTTTTGCCGGAACGGGGCGAGACGCCGGCTGTGTGAATGAGAACTAAGAGATGCGCTCTAAAACATTTCTGGCTATGTCACTGCCTTCACGGCTGGATAATGTCTGGATGTTCGCTTAGAAAGAATCCCTCAGAGATCGATAGGGGAATGCATGAGATATCAATATGTTATATAAATAACTGTTTTTTTTTCTGTTTTTTTTAATGCGACACTTGGGCTCGGGTTATATGCTATTACAGGAACTTAGTTTTGTTGTCAGAAAATCCTTTCGGACAAATAGTGGATGCCACGCCAGCGATTAAAAAGTATACACCTCCAGAGACGCCATCGGCTTGCCCACCGCGGGCGATTTTCATCCTTTTTGGTAACATACACAGGCAGGATATTTCGAGGGGTGCCGGCCAGACATTTCGAACAAAAACAATGCATCGCACAGAAAAATATATTGACGCTGTATTATGACTATTTAGGAGGTAGACAGCATGGTAGGAATTTTAAGCATCGAATAAGTATTAAAAAGGAAACTTCTTAATTAATATGAATAAAAGTACGCTGCGTCTAGAGTACGGTCCGGCGGCAATCTTGTAGAGTTAAAGTGCCCTCCAAGAGCCCTCCTCTAACGCCTTCAAGTGCCGTCCGAAAATGTTAAGCGCAAGTCAGGCTTATTCTGACACGTGTTTCCATCAGCAGCTCGCCGACGATTTGTTTTGACAAAAAGCCCGAGTGAGGCAAATGCTGCAGGGGCGAGCAGCATGTTTCATTACGTATGTTTGCGCCTGCGCTGTGCCGGCTCACTATCTCTTCAACACTGACGAAGTCGCACTCTCTCGAAGGTTGCGATGGTGATTTAAAGTAAATCTGAGTTTTTGTCGAGTGACGGCAACAACGTTCACGAATAACGGTGATACCCCCTTCAAAATATAAAATAAAAGTGTTACACTAATTAGAATTTTTTTAAGGCACACGTATGGTACCTAAATATTTGTGAGACCATATACACTTGTGAGAGAGGTTACTCTTTGTTATGATAAAAGCTTTATGAAATCTGAGTATAGTCATAATAGGCAAATTTAATACAAAAAAAGTACAGCTAAAGCAGGCATACTCATTCCGGCCAGAAAGTGTCAAAAGCAAGACAAAGGACGGCATTTGGCCGGTAGGGGCATCGTGCGACGGCACTAGAACGCGGGCGCAAAGGGCTGTCGGACGGCACTTTAGACACTGCGATAAAGGTATGGTTTGAGTCGGAAATTTACTGGGCATCCTAAGGAACCACTAAATTTCCACTTTTAAAATCAATTCTTAAAGCGGCACTAAAGTGCTTTTGGGGATCCCTGTTTTATTGTCATCACTAAATCCACGAGGCCTAATCATCCTGAAAAAATAAACGAAAATATATTCATGCGTGCCACATTTGCGTGTTAAACAAGTGATACAAATTCCCGACACTTACCATCGGCGCAGAGTGACAGATGGCGCTACCAAACCTTGCTGAATATGGTCAACGACAGACGGCGCCTGTCAGCCACCCGAGAGCGATAGATTTCCTCGTGGACGAGCGCCGGCTCCTCCACGAGTAGATTGAGTTATGACAATAAAACGAGGATCTCAAAAAGCACTTCAGTGCCCCATAAGACGCGACCTTAATTTTACCGCGTCTCGAAACTGCAATAAATTCGGACGGGATTACTTTTCCTCACTGTACACCCCATTTAAGGCCACGGTCCCACTGAATGTGGCAGTTTAGGTACTTTTTGGCAGGTCATTACTCATCTCCTTTTGAATACTGTTTTGTGGGATTGATATCATTCGAGAGGCAATGCAATCCTCTTTCATTTGATATTATGTATGTGTTGGTGTTTACTGCTCATGCGCATTTGTAGCGTTGCGATTATGATGGCGCGGACCCTCACTTGCTCCGCTAGTTCATGTTTTATGAACGATCCATTAAAGATAACATGGTTCCAATATAGCAGTTTTGTTAAGATGATGTCGGAGCAGAATGTAACGATACACTTTGT